CCACTTATATTATAAAAAGATCGAATGAGGCCGGGAATCCCTCAACAACACAACCCGGTAATGAAAGGGAATGAAGGACTTTGCTGGGAACCGGGTCTGGGGTCTCATGATCGTAGCTCTCACAGAGGCTAGGCAACTGAACCGAAGGGCAAACCTTGAAGGAGAATAAAGATAAAAGGAGACAACCAGCAGAACCAAGCAATACTACTGGAAAGCCCCTCTCTGATCAAAAGTAGAGAAAATGGAGATTGCATAATTACCCTATCTAATGAGCAGACGCGTGATTTCTGAAAATTATGAGGTTGCTAATTGGAGGGCCTACGGTAGGGGAGGAGAGACTCGTGCCGAGTTTTTCCTCCCTTATCGTAGACCTTCTGACGTCGCTAATGGGAGGTGTGATTCCAAAGGGGATCAGAGTAGACGAGACTGTTGCTATCTGAGAAATCAGCCCATTTGAAGTGTGATGACCATTTTTTTCGAAAGGCCGCCTTTGTTGAGTCTGGTGATGTGGAACTTCTCTTGATCTTGATCCAATCTGCCATGATGTCTAGTCGGATTGCCTGTTTGAATTGTGCAAGTGAGGTAGAAAGGGAGGACTTCGTATTGAGGAACCTTCTCTCCCTTCTGGCCATCCACAGTAGCCAGAAGACAACGGTAGCCTTGATGGCCAAAAGAGAGAGAAGAGCGGTTTCAACTGACCCATCGTGCAGCCATGATGTCTCTTGTGCACTACTCTGATGGCGTCGCTGCACTACTCTCGACATGCACAAAAGACAAAATCCATGGGGGGCGTATCTCGCCATGTTTCTACCGAAGATTCACTCTCGTTTTGCACATTTCGAGAGTCGTACAGCGAGGCCCTTGATGGCCGCATAAGTTCCAGTTCCAGGCGGGGAGCCGAACCTTTTTTTTTTGTCCAAAAAAAGAAAAACAATTCTGTTTTTTTGGTAATCTGACTGCATCTCTGGGTTCGTTCGAACCTGTAGGTCTGTTTTTGAACCGTTCATGGGTTTACCAACTGATAGGCCCGTTGGTAAAATTAAAATCAAAGGTGGTATATAGTCGGTGCGGCTGTGAAGTTCATAACTCGCTCCTATATATATGTATATGTATATATATATATATATAGTAGTAGTAATATATCAACTGTTTGGCAGAGAGATCCAGAGTTTTTTTTTTTTTTTTCAGAAGCAACACATTCAAAAATCCATTCCTCCTCCCCCCCCCCGAGGTCCTCACAATTCAACCCCCGGAGTTATCCTTGATGCCAGCCTCGGCCGGGGTTTAGCTTAATGTGAAACCAACCCTGTATATGTTCCAACAAACGAATAAGACCCCCCCGCATTAACCCCTACTGCCTACTTAGCTATCCTACACCTTCCTATTCCTATTCCTATTCCTATTCTACTACACAGACCTACCACCGGTTGGCAGAGAGATCCAGAGTTCGAGGCCTACAAAAAGCGCTACACGTTGTTTGTTTGAAAAAGAAAGAACGAGCACGGGCCCAGTGTTTTTGGCGGGACAACCGACGTTTTGATACCGAAACTATATATATATAGTGATATATAAATATATGATGAAGGCGGGGTCCAATGGACTTGTTTTTTTTGGCGTGATAGCCGAATTTGATCAACGAGGCGAGGCGAGGCGAGGCGAGGCGAGTTCCTTTTGTCATCAGCCTCCCGCCCAGCATATCATCAGGCAATCTTTTCGGCGGGAGGACAGGGACAGATATTGCTTGATTGAAGCCGCGCGGCTTGCTTGTGATCTTCCACCCCCCCCCTTAACCGATTTTTGATGGACGAGGGGGGTTGCTTGGGGTCATCGGGCGGAATCGAGGCACCCTGCACTGCTCATATCCTCGGAGGAGCTACTGTCCGCATGGTGGAGGGGGAGAGAGAGAGGAGAAGGGGTAGGGGGAGCGGCTAGGGGAGGGGGGAAGGGAAGGGCTCTCGGTCGACTTCATGTACGTAACGGACATTCAAACGGCAGGTATGTTTAGCGGCCGTTAGCGCAATGGTACGCTGAGGGGAAACGAGATCCCGACGATTTGCCTGTGGTGGTGTGTGGAGGGGGGTTGCAGGTGGAGAGACGTGGGCGAGGGGAGTGCAATAACTACACTACTACCTGGGCCAAGCTAGGTCGACAAAGGAGGCTGAGGGCGTACTCACGATACTCTTGGACACTTTTTTTTTTTTTGTGGGGGGGGGGACACTTTTTGACTGACCTCTGGAGGTAATTGGCGTGAGATATAAAATAAAAATAAAAATTGCCGTTCGATGCATGAAGGATGTGCGGTAATTGCGGAATTTGGAAAACTCAGGAAAAAGTCCTATCCTATTCAAAAAGCGGGCGGGGAGTATCCTCTGAGGAGAGCGGCGTGAGCAAAAAGCGGGCGGGGAGTATGCTCTGAGGAGAGAGGCGTGAGCAAAAAACGGGCGGGGAGTATGCTCTGAGGAGAGAGGCGTGAGCAAAAAGCGGGCGGGGAAGGAAAGCAGTTCGGTTCATCGGCGGAATGGATATTCTTTCAATCCCTTAGATACTGTAATTTACCCGCCCGTGCGTGAGGAGTGAGGAGTGAAAAGCGAGGAAGAGCGGGGGAGGAGGGTAAGGGCAGAAAGGAGAAGAGGAAAGCGGGAAAGGGGTCAGCATGCAAATATCTTGTTTATGGCACGAGCATTGTTGTTGCTCCGAGGAGTAGCTGAAGAGGAAAGGACAGGTTGGATCATCCATCATCCACTCTGAAGACAATTCAAAGCCAGAAGAGATCGGAAACGAAAGTAGGGCTGAAGGAGAGAAGGAGAAGTTAAAAAAGAAAAAAAAGAAAAAAGAAAAGGAGAAGACGAAGGTTGGAAGGGAGGGAGGGAGGGAGGAAGTAAGGAGGGGAGAGTTAAGCAAAGAACGAAAGGAAAGGAGGGAGGGAAGGAGGGGTGAAGAAGAGGGGAGGAAGGAGGGAAGGAAGGGAGGCCCCACTCTGAAGAGTAATCAAAGCCAGAAGAGACCGTAAAGGAAAGTGGGACTGAAGGAAAGAAGGGGAAGACGAAGGTTGGGAGGAAGGGAGGGAGGGAGGGAGGGAGGCAGGGAGGGAGGGAGGAAGTAGGGAAAGACGAAGGTTGGGAGGAAGGGAGGGAGGGAGGGAGGGAGGGAGGGAAGGAGGAAGGAACGAAGGAAGGTATGGAAGAGTTAAGGAAAGAGCGAAAGGAAAAAAGGTAGGGAAGGAGCGGTGAAGTAGGGGAGAAAGGAGGGAAGAAAGGGAGGAAGGTAGAGGGAAAGCTAAGGAAAGGAGCCGGCCGTTTTCTCCTTGCTGTTTTGAGAATCCTTACTGGTCAGCATGCGCACAGGTGGGATAGACGACAGCAGCCATCCTTTGTGGTGTGGAATCGAGTGTGGATTACAAGCTTGTGGTTTTGACTTGTTTTTGAAAAAGTGTTGTGCTTGTATACCCACTGACTGGACCGTCGGAATCAACAGATTGACTGACAGATACTTTTGATTGTACCGATTCTTGGCCGGCCGATTTGGTTGATTGATTGGTGGATTGATTGCTTGATTGACTGGTGGATTGATTGGTTAATGGATTGACGGAAGATCGACCGATTTGGTTGATTGATTGGTGGACTGATTGGTTGATTGATTGGTGGACTGATTGGTTGATTGCTTGGTGGACTGGTTGGTGGATTGCTTGGTTGATCTCGTGATTGATTGGTTAATGGATTGACGGAGGATCGTCTCTACGTGTCAATCTCTTGATTGATTAGCTTCGACGGTTTGTGAGAGAATTGGGCGATCGATTGATTGATCTCATCATTGGGCTATAGCCTGATTGGTGTGGGTATCTCACGAAGGAAGCGGTACAGGGAGGTGAGCACAGAACAGACGAGAGGGAAGCGGCCGTTGTTTGCTTTTTCCTGTTATGGAAAGTAATGTAGCTGTGAGTGATACGAGGCGTCGGGACACAGTGAAAGGTGACGTCGGGACAGAGTAGGTCGCGGCTGTAGGCGGGGTCATCCGTGCTCAAAGTGTCGGTAAACTGGCGTCCATACATTACCCACGACAGTGGTCGATCGTCCGATCGAGTAGTTGATTGGTGGTTGATTGATTGATTGATTGATTGATTGATTGATTAGGTAATCAGGCGATGACCAATGCATTGAGCGCCACGTGGCTGTGGTGGTTGCGACGTAACCGTAGACGGTTGTCAGTCGATTAATTGCTTGATTAGATTAGAATTGTCGGGACTGGAGGATCAAGGAAGGAGAGGGGAAGAAGGGGTGAAGAAGGGGTGAAGGAGTGAAAAAGGGGTGAAAAAGGGGTTAAGAAGGGGTGAAAGGGGTTAAGAAGGGGTGAAAGGCGCAAGGTAATGTGATTGGCCAGTCAAATGGCTGGTGGCGTAGCGACTCGCGCCAGAACGTGATGCGGTCCTATTCAGACTAGGCATTGCACGGCATACAGGCAGCGCGTTTGTACGGTATCCCGACTTCGCATTTGTACGGTATCCCGACTGCGCATTGGTGCAGTATCCAGACTGCAAAAGGATTGTACGGAAGCAGCGCAATTATACGGAATCAATTTCTTGCTCAGTGAAATCGTACGGTCGCTGCTGATCGCGGAGTCGGTCGGCCGCATATGAAATTTCTCTGCGCCTTTCTTTTGTACCTCTCTCAGGAGCTGTGGGGCCGCGGTGGTTGTCTCACACGTATATACCGCGGCGGCTGTGTTTGATCTGGCTGCGCGGCGAAGTACTACCCAGGCGAGACAAGGAATTTTCACGTATTAGCGTTTTTTTTTTTTTTTTTTTTTTTTTTTTTTTTTTTTGAGAGGCGGTGAGTGTTCCGAAGGTAAAACTGGAAGAGGAAATTGTGTTCGGCGGGAAAAGGAAGATAGATGATGATGCGCGCCGTTTGAAGAAGAGCAGCAGCAGCAGGGGATATGCAGCAACCGGTGTCGGGATCGCGGTTGTTGTTGTCGTCATCGTCGGCACTTTCGTCCTGAGACTTGTCTCGGTTGGGATCTCTCGATCCTATAACACACTACAAGCTGGTGCCATCATGTATCACCACCTATCAGGCGGCAGTCATTAACGGGTGGGCCTCTTTTGACGTTTGCTGGGCGATTTCTGACACGTGTCGTTCATCCACGTGTCCACGTCAGCCCGGTGTTGGCTTTGGCGGGAACACATCAGCTGGTGACAATGTCGGCCGCCGTTGCCTCCAAACCAGTCACCTGTTACAGGGATATCAAGTAAGTGAAATACATAAACGCAGCCGGTGGGAATGTGCGACCACCGCTCCCCCC